TTATATTCTCCATTTCAGGATGTTATTTCATCCTTTATCTCTCTCACTGCAGGCCGCCAAGATCCTCAATCACGTGTTCATCACATCCAGCCTCGACTATGCAAACTCACTACTTGTCGGCCTCCCCAACTCCTCCCTCCACAGGCTGCAGATCATCCAGAACTTTGCAGCCGTGTCCTCTCCCGCACCAGGCTCTATGAACCTATCACGCCTATCCTCGCCCGGCTCTACTGGCTCCACATCACTCAGAGGATACAGTTCCTGATCCTGGTCCTCACTTTCAAAACCCTCCACAGCCTCGCTCCTCCCTACCTCTGTTATCTCCTAAACCCTACCAACCTGTCTGCTTTCTCTGCTCAGTGGGCTCCGGTCTGCTTTACATCCCCGCCTTGCCCGCCCCATCATTGGGGCGGGCAAGGCCTTCAGCCTCTCTTCCCCCACCCCCTGGAACTTCATCCTGTATTCCCTCTGCCTCATCCCCTCCCTTGCCTCCTTTGAGACCCATCTTCAAGACTCTCCTCTTCGACCATGCCTTTTGGTCACCCTCCTACCCTACCCTGTCTGCCCTCCACCCCTCTTGATCCCAACCACCAGCTCAGGTGTGGATCCCTGACTGTCCAGTGCCTTGAGATGTCCTCCTGACATGAACGGCGCTATACAAATGTAACTTCTTGTTGTTGTTTATTTATTGACTTGAATACCTTGCCCACCACAGTTTCCTGGATTAGCTCCATCTCCTTTTTAAAAATTAGATATTACATTCGCCACCCAGTAATTGTCTGGCAAAACTTGAGAAAGAGCAGGCAATTGGGTCTAGGATGGATGGTTTTGTAGAGGAGCAAACAACAACTTAAAAAAAGGGTCCAATTGCCTGCTGCTGTATAAACCATTTCTGTGGTTGGAATATCTAGACTTCATTCAATGCTCTGACTACACTCAACATACAGTATCATGAAAGGATAAGGACACTGCAGGGAGACTTCCCCAGACCACTCCTGTGCATCTTCTACCAGACTGCTAAGTGTGGTATTGATGGCCTCCTGAGAGTAGGGGGTCTGACCCCTCCGATACCTTCAAAAACTTAGTTTGTATGAAACAATCCTTTTTATGTATGAAGTGCAACAGAAAGTCAGAGCCATCCTTTGCATCCTATCCTTGTTATTTTGGAACATTTCTGCCACGTTTGGTGGTGGTATAGCCTTTTCTAGCCTGGATAATTGCCTATCTTTACACTGTTAACTGTTTCCGTTTGTAGAGTACGGTTTTAATCTGCAAACAAATAACAAAAAATTACAATTTGATGTTGCAAGTAATAATAATAATATAAAAAATAGTACCAAGATGCAGGAGGTATATTGCTTTCTGCCTGGAGGAAGGATGGTGAATCTTTGCCCATACCGTTATTTGAAACACAAGCAAGTTTCATCCTTCCTAATTAATAAATAATTCCTTCAAAAAAAATTGGTCACTTCAATGTTTGTGGGACACTGCAGTGTGCATTTGGCTGCTGCGTTTTGCCCACAAAATATTCACTTTACAGTATATTCTATAAAGTGCTTTAAGACATCTCAAAGAAGTGATAAGGCGCTTTATTAAATTAAAAGATTATTACTATTTTTATAAGGAAACATTCACAAACCAGAACACCAGAGGGAGCTATGTGCTGCAGTTTACAGATGAATCAATTCTATCATGCTATCTGAAATATACCAGCAGGGAGAAATTCTACCTGGGTCTGATTGTAGACTTGTTTCTCAGCATATCAGGGTGTAGAAAACTTGGACAATTCTTTAACTCACTCTTAATGATGAAGCTTGTTTTCTATAGTTCTTAAAATTTGCAGGCTATTTGTCCGCTAAGAAAAAGTCTTCAAGTCTTAGACCCAGGAGGAATTCTCTTCCCCCCCAACCCCTCACCCAGGTTGGGCAGCCTGAACCAGCCTGAACAGTAGAAGCGAACACTGGTATACTTTCCCGTAGCAAAATGATACATTATAAATAATCATGCGCTTTATCCCTTTGTTCAGCTTCTCAAAGCATTTCACAGAGTTTACTGTAAAGTGTTGCATGTATTTTGTAGGTGAAACGTAAATCAGTAGAGCAAACGGGAGGAACATTGTTAGAACACAGCAGCAATTTATGCATAGCAATGTGTCACAAACAGCCAAATGGTCAACTTTATATGAGAGATTCTCGGCCAGATCACCAGAAGAAACTCCTTTCCCTTTTTGAATACTGTAATTCCTTGGGATTGTTAACATCCATCTGAACAGGCAGAGAGCGCTTCAGTTTAATGTCTCATCTGAAGGAAAAGTAAGGGGTCAAGGATGGAGCCTTAGGGCACCCCTCAGGTGACTGAGTGGGAAGAAAAACCATTTGCCGAGATGTATTGTTGGTGGTTTGTTAAGTAAGACAACAACAAAACAACAAAATTAGATTTTTAGAGCGCTTTTCATGTCGGGAGGACGTCCCAAAGCACTGAACCACTACGGTGGATCAGGGAGGAGAGGCGGTGGAGGAGGATGGTGTAATCGACTGGGTCGAACTCGGCAGAAAGGTCAAAGAAAATGAGGAGGCAGAGGAAGCCCTGGTCACAGAGAGAGAGAAAGTCATTTGTTACAGGGCGTAAACCAGACTGGAGAGGTTCAAGTAGGGAGTGGAGGGAGAGGTGTGAGCAAAGTTGATTTGCAATTTCATGTCGACAGGACGTTCCTAGCGCTTGTTACACAAAGGCAAAACACGCTATTAACCAGTATCTTCTTGATCCCTTCTGTTATTAAAGATATATTATTGTGTGACATATTGTTTTAGTACAGTTAGGAATGCAGTTAGTTTTAGTAGTTACAGTTTGTCAACTAAACTGGAATGAAAATCTTGATTATTGGTTGTTTTGATCTGGTTGAAGATATCTTATGCTTGTTAGTCAGTATTGAAATGATTTGTAGACACTATAAGGTTAATCAGATTCAGCAGAATTGTAGAAATTATATTTAAGGGTGATGTGTACATGAGGTAATTGGTGTACAACTCTAGATCAAATGTTGTGGGAAAATGTCAGTATGTTGTGACTTGAAGAATTAAATTGGTTCAGAAGTAAGAAGTGTATTTATCGCAGCTGCAACTCACTTGTTAATTGTTCATGTATCAGTTCTGTATTGTTTTAATCAGAATCAGTTCATGGGTATTGCATCCAAGGATGGTCCTTGTCTGTAAACAATATCAGGTGGGAGAGAACGTGCAGATTTGTATGGACCGTCTTGTTAAAAAGGACAATGATCAAAGATGTACAGTATAGCTAAGCTATACTTTGTTCAGTCAGAGTTGGTCACCTCTGAGCTTTGGTTCGAGCTGGTGAGAGTGAGTGCATCCTTTGTTTCCCTCGCTCTAACACCCGACCTCAACTGTTCAAGGTTCCGGAAATTCCAGCAACATCAGGGGTAAAAAAAACAAGAGAGAAGAAAAATAGATCGCAATGATCCAAGAATACTGTTGCAACACAACTGCTAGAGATTCAACTTTGGTCCTTTGGATCAACATGTCTGCAATTATTTGTTTGTGTTGCAAAGAAAAGACAAGCAAGATATGTTCGCCTACTGCTTATGAACTTTGATATTGACTTTGATATTGTCCTTACAGTGACATTGTTATATGAGAGCATAACAGGCAATATTGTCTGTTGTAACATGACCCATTGTAACTATGCTTATTAATTCAATACAAAATGGTATGTCTTTCTGTCTTATCAAGTAAACGGACTTTAAAATATAAAATACAAGTGACTTTGGTTCATCTGTTCACGGATTCCTAATTTACATTTTCTGCTAAACAGAATAAGCTGTTATTTTCTGGTCACACCTTTTGTCCCAGGCTTCAATGCAATGGTTAACTCCATTACTGACCATACCTTCAAACTCAACACTTCCACAATTGAGTACTTTAACCACTATGTCAACTACATGAAAGCAATAAATAACTGCCTTGAATTGGTTCTGTCTTAACTGTCGTCTCCGACAGTAGGTTTGCCTCCAGATATCTAAAGATGGGACCTCGCACTTTTATTAACCCTTTTATAATTAGTTAATACTACAGGATTCAGTAATGTGGGGGGAGTGGTTCTGAAATGTTATATTCACACACCAGATTTTTTGCATTAATTGTGACTTCCATTTTATGATTTTCAGATTGTGAAATTTGTTGCAAATGCCCTATTCTATAATATACAATATAGTAGGTCTCTCCTCAGTCAGCGGCCAAACCAACCTCTCGGCTGAGGGGGAGGGGGGGTTAGGTGGATATTTAAAAGGTCACTTTGACAAGTTGGTGCCTTGAACATAGGGAAAAGGAGGAGGCCATTCAGCCCCTCGAGCCCGTTCTGCCATTCTATTAGATCACGGCTGATCTGTACTTCAACTCCATTTACCCACCTTTGCTTCGTATCCCTTGGTTCATTCAATCCGTAACTGTTTGTGGGACACTGCTGTGCGCAAATGCTATTAAATTTTGCCCACAAAGTATACAGCCAATTCACTTTTACAGTAGTTTCTGTGAAGTGCTTTGAGACGTCTCGAAGACATGATAAGGCATTATATCAAATACAAGGATTATTATTATTCAGATTGCATAGGAATGCAGAAGGTTGCAGTTGTCATCTGATGTGGAGATGTACCACTACAGTAACTCACTGGCTTAATCATAGCTAGCCGAAACCTAAAAGATTTAATAATTTCCACGGGCCACATGTAGACAGACTCCTTGCTGGCCCCTCTCCTAGCACATGCCCCAACCTCACTATGCTCGCTGGCCAGGGATAGCAACTTTGATTCAGTTTGAATCGCCTTATATGCTATCTTCGGCTCGCGGGATTGAAATAATTACAATTAGTCAGTAATTCCCGCTTGACGGGCTGGTTCTTCCTCCTCCCTCCCCCGTTATTAGTTCGATTAGCTGGGGGTTTAGTGTGTATATATAGAGAGAAAATAGACTAGGTCATCCCATAGGGAAAGTACCATTCTTTACTAAATTTATAAAACATGCCAAAAATATAGTTACAGCAAAATTCACAACAGCAATATAACCAGGAGATTGCCAACTTGCCTAACGTGACTATTTTATGAATGTGTAATGTGGCCCGCAGGCAGCAGGTTGGCAACCCCTAATGTAACCTATCTTTCAGCAAAATGCTTCTCCATTATTTTCTTTTGGATAAAAGACGTTGCACATGGTTTGATGAATTAATATGTGATATACAGTATATGTTGTACTATTTAGCTATTGCTCCATTATAATTACAAACCAAAGGATCTAAACAGCCATTACACTGCTTTATAATAACTGGTTGTTATCTTAGGTTATACAGAACAGTAACACATGTATCTGGAGAAGGGTGGTCATGATTTCTTCTTTATAAATTCACAGACAAAGTATATGTTGAGGTGACACTCCACATCATTCCAGCCCCCATTGCTTACCATTTCCACACAGTCCTCACCACCAAATGCATTGTTGGGTTCCCCTGGTCTCCAGTTACTGTAGTTCTGCAGAGGGGTATAGTCAGTGTACATAAATTGCCTTTCCTTTTGCAAGTCATTTACCCCAATGAATACTCGGGATAGCCCAGTCTTGTTCACATAGGCAGCAATCAATGCATTTGTTTCTTCTTTCTTTGGCATAGCCAGTGATCCTCCCCTGTCCCGGCAATGAATCAGGGCATCGTTGTAATTCTTCCCTTCCTTCACAATCAGGTAGAATTTTTCTTCTGTTTCTTTGATACCTGCTATAACTTCAGAGGAATAAAACAAAGGGAAACTTTTACTTTATTTTATGGCTGATGATTTCGATCAAGTCTCTGCATGTGTTTTGGGTTTATGTATTTTTTGTGGTCTATGGTTGAAAATGTTATAATTAGAAACATGTTTCAAATATTTCCTTCCTAAATGCATCTGAGTTCAACATTTGCAAAATACTTGCACTTTTCCTATTAAGGGGCACCAGCCTAACTGAAAAGGGTTTGGCAAACTTAGATTTTTCTCTTTACAAAAGTTTTGATCAAAACTTCCACTCTGCAACAGTTATAGTGCAATTGATGTACAGCAACATTCCTTTTTACATAGAAAATGGGAGTGAAGGTTTCTGCAAGGTATGATTCTGGAGTGAAATGTAAGACACAAGGATTATTCTGATTTGATACCATCTCAGTGTGTCAGCCTCGCAAAGTGGTAAAAGTTTCACCTCTGAGTAGACATAGGGTCAACTTCCACATGCGGATGACACCCTCCGCCTCCACCCTCGACTCCAGGACCACTATTGTCCTCACAGACTCTGTCTGTCGGACATCAAGTCCTGGATAAGAACTAACTTTCTCCAGGACTGCCAACAAGACCGAAGCCCTCCAGCTTGGCTCCCGTCAGCACCTCCAGAAATTGGGCGCTGACAATATCACCCTTCATGGATGATCTCTACACCTCACAGAGCCAATATGCAACCTCAGCATCCTGTTCGACCCTCAACTGTCCTTCTTACCCCACATACGTTCCATGACCCGCTTCGCCTTTCCTCACCTCCGCAACATTGCCCGGTTCCACCACTGTCTCCCACTGCAGGCTGCCAAGATCCTCATCCACGCATTCATCACATGATTGATTACACAAACTCCCTGCTTGTCAGCCTCCCCAGTTCCTCCCTCCACAGGCTGCAGATCATCCAGAACTCTACAATGCTTGCCAAGCTCCAAGACCCTATTACCCCCATCCTCGCCTGACTCATCACTCAGAGAATGCAGTTCAAAATCCTGATCCTCACCTTCAAAGGCCTCCACGGCCTCACTGCTCCCTTCCTCTGTGACTCCCAACCCACTGCCAACTGGTCTGCTCCCTCCACTCAGTGGGCTTCGGCCTGCTTCACATTCCCCACTTTGCCCACCCCATCATTGGCAGGCGGGCCTTTCGTCTCTCTGCCCCCGCCTTCTGGAACTCTGCCCCACAGTCCCTCCACCTTGGCCCCTCCCTTGCCTCCTTCAAGACCCGTCTCAAGACCCACCTTTTTGACCACACCTTCAGTCACTCTCCTATCCCACCCTCACTGCTCTCCACCCCTCCTGATTCCAACCACCAGCTCTGGTGCGGATCCCTGACTGTCCAGCGCCTTGGGCCATCCTTCTGATGTGAAAGGCATTATACAAATGTAATTTGTTGTTGTTGTAAAGTCGAATGGTCTAGGATACAAGCTCCACAGTCTAATCTGACACCCAAATGCAGTGCTGGGGGTTTCAATTGTAGTTGGGGGAGGCAGCACCAATAAACAAGGCTAACAGGATACTGGGCTAGATTGCTAAATCAAATGAGTTTAGATCCCAGATGTCACACTCAGGCTGTACAGTGCGCTGGTCAGACCGCACCTTGGATACTGCACACAGTTCCAGTGCAGGCCTTAGAGATGGTGCAGAGGAGAGCAATGAGGATGATTCCAAGTTTTAGAGGAATGAGCTATGAGCAATGATTCGAAAAGCTACATCTTGAGAGAATATGACTCAGAGTTAAATAACAACAACATTTATATTGTTCCCTTCAGGCAGGTAGCATCTCAGAGCTCTTACCAATCAATGACTGGAACAATTTACAGGAAAAGTGGTAGAGGCCAGGACACTTTGGACTCATTTAAAAAGCAGCTTGATGGAGTGATGGGGTGACGATAGGGTGGGTATCCTGGAAGGATGAGATCAGATGGGTCGAAGGGCCTTCTTCATCCAGACCAATCTTGTGATATATATTTCAGACAAGAATACCATTCACCATTCACCAGGAATCCACTATATTCAAGAGTGCCTTTGAGTCTACTTTGAACATGTGGAAATGTACTGTGAAGATTTTTTAAAGCCACTTACCATTTTTTATGAAATGCATCGTGCTGTTCAGGCGAGCAATGTTGATGTCCATCTGTCCAACTATTTTCCGATATCTTCCACAGTCACAAAAACTACCTGTTAATTTAATGATAACAACTTGTGTTTATGCAGCACACTTCCAAGAAGAGCAAATAGAATGCATTCCCTGCGCTTACTTTGTCTTATCTAGCCCAGAAAACAAATATTAAGCATCAACATAAGTTGGAAGTAATCATTAACAATTTTAATATTAATAATTACATGAAAAAAATCCATGAACAAGCAATAACAACAACAAATTGCATTTATATAGTGCCTTTTATGTCAGGATGACGACCTAAGGTGCTGTTCAGTGAAGGGATGGAAGGAGGACCGAAGGCATGGTCAAAGAGGAAGCTCTTGAGAGAGAAAAAAAAATTTGGTCACGTTTCGCCCACAAAATATACAGTCAATTCACTTTACAGTATATTCTGTGAAATATTTTGAGACATCTCGAAAATGAGATAAATCGCTATATCAAGTGCAAGGATTATTATTATTATTTCACATTTTAACAGTTTACTACCTTACGGTGTTGATTACCTCAGCATTCACATTTTCACATCAGTTAGATCTTTACAAGAGCCAGTTCCTTGTTGACGTCCAGATGTGATCATATATTACATGGTATGTTCACATAAATAAAGTGTTGTCTAATTAGTAACCTCTTTGTATTTATCAGACTGACATATGTGGAAAATACTTTCGTATGCATAAGATTACCTGTCATCAGCAGGTCCCTGGAGTACTGCAAGCAAGAGGTGGGACAGCTTGCCACGCAGCAATATCAATTGCAAGTTACACGGTTTTAGCTGGTTAGAACAACAACAACAACAACAACAACAACAAGATTCCATTTATAAAGCGCCTTTCACGTCAGGAGGACGTCCCAAGGCGCTGCACAGTTGGGTCATGACCCGAGCAGGGGGGAAATGGTCAGGGTGAGGGGAGGGAAGGGAGGGAGCGAGGAGGGGGGAAATGGTCAGGGTGAGGGGAGGGAAGGGAGGGAGCGAGGAGCGGGGAAATGGTCAGGGTGAGGGGAGGGAAGGGAGGGAGCGAGGAGGGGGAAGAGAGTCGAGAGGGGAGCTGAAGGCACGGTCAAAGAGAAGTAGTACTCCAACACACAACTGGGGTTTCGAAGCCTTGGTCTTTGCCAACCTGCACCTAATACTTTCCGGAATTAGGTAAGCAGGATGTATCTCTCCAAGGAGAATGATCGCATTCCATTCCAAGAATCTATCTCGGGAATTTCCATGTGAAGATGAGATGCATAGAATTCTCATTGGTTTGGATACCGTTCAGCATGGTGATGGGTTCCATGTGTCAGACACCAGACTGACCAAAAATAAATCTCAGGAACCGGACAACTGGGATCATCACAGGGGCTTCTCTCGATTCAGACATTCTGTTGCTAAACATGTCAACTTGACATGTTTCAACATAATAGGCCCTACACCAGATGCAAGGAGTCACAGAAGGAGGCTATTTTGCCCATCAATTTCCACCAGCTCTTAGAACAAGGTGTTCATTCAATCACACTGCCCAGCCTTATCCACATACCTCCCTTCAAGCTTCAAATATCATTATTTTAATAGTACAGTACCTTGTTCACCTTTTCGGCCGGGAGGTCCGGGATAACCAGTGTTTCCTTTATTGCCTAAGTTAAATTTTACAATGAGTCTTATAGCACAATTGAAGGATGAGAGATGATCAGTTTCACAAAGTGCTGAAAGTTAAAGTGATACTATTTTCATACAAATATAATGCAATTCCATTTACAATTACACAGTGCCTTTCATATCAGGAGGATGTCTCATAGCTTTTAAAGGTGCTGGGTGGGCAACTATGCTGGGGATGGAAGCTGAAGTTGGTGGAGAGAGGAAAGATAACCAAGAATGCAGTCAACAAAATAGTTCTGAGACAGGAGTTTGTTTGGAATTTTTTGTTTGGAGAGAGACAATGTCAATTTTACATCATAGTGACTTCACATGTTTGTGATATATGGGAATAAATTCCACCTGAGACTGGATTTACTCTATTTATGTAACATTTTAGATTGGTCAGAATTTGGCAAATTGTTGAATTGAAGTCTTTGAAGTCAGTTTTCTGTAGTTTCTTAAACAAAATTACACAAATTTGGCTTCAAAATTAACGCTGTATTTAAGAATCTGCCAAATTCTAGATGGAATAAATTTCCATATTAATTAACAAATGCTAACTGTTTCTTCTGGTCTGTGAATATTAACTGTCAATAAATCTGCCAAACGGCTGGTAGGCAAAAAAGTAGTTCATCAACTACTTTCTGCATGTGTTAGTTTTTGAAATTTGGCATTTGTGACTCTTTTGAAGACTTAGAATAGTTATTTGCAAAGCAGAAGTCTCAATTTAATATCACAAATCTGGTTTGTGAAGATCACATATTAGACCACAATGATGTTTCAATGCGACTTATGTCATTACACTGTGTGTTTCTAACAAAACATAAAGATTTGCCAAATGTCTTTGCATAAAGAGGGTGGATTTTAATAGATGAATTGCGTTCGTCTTAAACCTTCAAGTGAAAATGATGACAAAAATAGCAATTTAATTCTATGATTATGTTCATGACTTTTCATAATATATAGTCAAAATTATTATTTTAGATATTTTAAGGGTTCGGTGTATCAGCTTTGTCTGATGCCTCTCCATACCCCGATGAATCCTCAGTTTGACTCTTGTATTTTAATATCTCAAGCAGTAGTGAATGTTATGTGCTGAGATTAAACAATGTACCTCAAGATGGCAGAACGCTCCGCTCCATGTATTGGGGATGAAAAACTACCTTTGGTGCTTTACAACATACAATTCCTGCCAGCCTTTACCCTCATTTACATCATCCACAAAGAGGTTTGTGGACTCAGCTGAACCTTTCCCTTGTACTCTCACGCACCAGGGTCCTTGACCCCATCACTCCCATCCTCGCCCAACTCCACTGGTTCCCCATCCCCCAGAGGATCGAGTTCAAGATACTCGTCCTCACCTTTAAGGGCATCCATGGCCTTGCCCCCTCCTACCTCTCTGACCTGCTGACTCCCTACCAATCTGTCCACTCCCTCTGTTCAGCGGGCTCTGGCCTGCTCCATGTCTCCCACCCGACCCGCCCTACCATCGTTGGCTGGACTTTCAACCTCTCTGCTCCCACACTCTGGAACTCCATCCCACAGTCCCTTTGCCTTGCTTCCTCCCTTGCCTCCTTCAAGGCCAGTCTCAAGACCCTTCTCTTCGGCTATGCCTTTGGTCTCCCTCCCACCTCTCTGCCTTCCCTCACCCCTACACCACCCCTTCCCCATGCTCGGGCCCCGACACCTGACTGTTCAGCGGTTTGGGATGTCCTCCCGATGTGAAACGCGCTCTATAAATATAATTTTGTGGTTGTTGAAGGGGGACAGCATGGAGGTGGGAACCAAGAGTAAAATAATTTAGAATGGAAGAAAAGCATAAGACTTTTAATTAACAGTTGGTAAGTTTATTCCAATGGGTGCAGACATATTTTGGACTGTGAAATTTTGGACAACAAATAATTCAAAATTACAATTTTTTAATATTTTTCAGTACTAGTTGGTTAAAGAACTTACTTGCAAAACCTGCCAAGAATCTGCTAACAAACCAACATTGCACATTGCAGTTTTATTAACTGCAGCTTGAGTCTTGGAAGTCTTGTCTTGATTTGTTATGTTACTCAAATTAGAAGTGAGCATCTGTGGGCTTCAGATAGCCTTGTGTAGAGAAAAACATTGGCGCAGGCCTGGTGGGTTAAATGCCCAATTTTTGTGCTGTAACATTCTATGACTAAAAGGGGTGAAATATTGGTAAAGATGGATAACTTGTAACTTGTGAACTAAGACTGCTAATAATTATTAACCAGGGACAAAATTTGTGGCATCTGAGAATGCATTCAATGTGATAAGGCATTATAAGCCTTCATAACAGGACTAATTTCACCCCTATTATTTTGTGGAAAGAAAGTAACTTAACTTCAAAGTTTGACGTTGTGTTCAAACTCTAAACTTACCCTTCAAGCCAATTGGACCAATTTTACCCATTCTACCAATATCTCCATTCTGACCAGGCTCACCAGTCATTCCTTCAAAACAAAAGGGAAATATGTTGGATATTCAATTATTAATATGCTGCTTCTAAAAATATATATATTTTACACAAGGTTTTCAAGGATGACAATTGACTGAGGAAGAAGAGTCTGGGAAACATCCAGTTGAGACACATTGGAAATTCCAGGTCACAGTCTAAACTGACACACCATACAGTGCTGAGAGTGTGCTGCATTTGTGGAGGTGTTGTCCTTTGGATGAGATGTTAAACTGAGGTTTTGGATCTGGCAACAATTAAAGTTAAAATCTGCCATCAAAGGTATTAAAAATAAGCTTTATTGCTAAAGGTATGGACTGTCAAGTGCAGTACCATTCAAACCACACATTTCAGGTTTGAATCATGGTGTTTGTTATTAAAGCTGGAACAGGTTGTTGTCAAGTCCCAAGTTAAATAGCAATCCTCTCATTTGCATTTGATAAGTCGTCAAACTGAGTTCACTGATTTCAGACATACAAAGTGGCGTAGAGGAGCTATGTGCAAACAGACCTGCTTTTTGGATCTGAGCTCCCAGGAATGCAATGGAGAGGCTTCCTCCAACCCATCTGCAAAGTCCAGGATCAAGCAGTGAGGTGGATTTGTTGCAAACATGGGAAGTGGCTACAGAGAGCGAGGGCTCCAGCCTACACTGACTTGTTGCTAAGCACCCTGGAAGAGGAGTCAGCTTCACAGTCTATTTGCCAAGGTCCCCTGCATGAGGACCCGGATTGAGCAGCTGGTGCTGAGTAAGCCTGGTATGCAGCAGTGGACTTGGACCTCAAGAACATCAAGGTGGCTAGCACATCACAAACTGTCCTGTAAAGGTCCTTCCACCATGCTGAAGGCACCAGATAGCTGATGAGGAAACTCTGAGCTTGGGGCAACAGCTGGTGTAAGGCATTACCTGGAGTAAAGTTCATGAACACACGTCCATACAACCAGCACCTGGAATCCACCTGGATTGTCTTGCAAAGAGACAATCAGCTGCTGCTTAAACTCCAATTGGTGGAACTATTACTCAATGGGAAGGGAAGTGTGCCCGAGCCATGGATAGGAAGATGGTGACAATGCTCTCACGTATTTCATGCTGAGGTGTGTTGCCCACCGGGAAGTCGAAGGGAGTTCCTTGTACCTACCATCCACCTAGTCAGGGCTCAAACCCATGCTTGCAGGATATCGAACAACCAACTAGTGACTATCCTTCTTGGAGGGGAGGTAAGTGGTGTCTCCTTGGAGTTGAACTGGCTACAAGGTGACATGCCTGGCAATGGAATGTCAAAATCGAGCCAACCCTTTGTGGCAGTCTTGGTAGTCCAGTTCCTGACCAGGCAGGTCTGCAGTATTCCAGGGCACTGGGGCGTCAAGAAGTGGCCCGTTGAACCTCCAGTCTAGGTAAGTCTGTGTAAAATCAATAGCTACTGAATAGAGATATTGTTGGTGCAGCAATAAATCAGAAATATTCCATCAAGAAAATGAGTTTGGTTGGCTGACCAAAAAGGTTGGCCATCACTGTTGTAGAGTGTAATGACTGTGTATTTTGTAGGCAAATGTGGCAGCTAATTTGTTCTCAGCAAAGTCCTACAAATAGCCTTTAAGTGAATGACGATTTTATTTGGGGAATTGGCCAGGACAGTGGGAGAAACTGTTCTCTTTTTGAATAGCGCCATAGGATCTTTAACATCCACCTGAACAGGCAGATGACACCTTGTATTAATGGCATCCGAAGGATGGCATCTCTGACAATGCAGCACAATCTAAGACCATACTGTGAGTCCAAAATCCCAACATGGGATTATAACCCAATATAAATGACAACAGCAGTATTTTTCTTTCTTAACTTCTTGTTACAGTGATCCATACCTTTTTTCCCTGGTGGACCTTCTTTGCCTATTTTTCCAGGCTCACCACAGTCACCTTCTTCACCCTGGTCACCTTTGGAAATATAAGACAAACCAGGACAGTATTAGTTGGTCAGCACCTCAAAGTTTCACTGAACCCTTAAACAGAAACCAGCTTCTAACTTGGTTTCACATTTTTATAGCACCATATCATCTTGAGAGTTTTGCATGTCAGAGTTGCAGTCCTTCAGATGAAACATTAAATTATGCTGTTAGCTCTCTGTTTAGTTGAATGTTAAACAATCCATGATACAGTAACAGACCCATAAGAACTGGAGTGAACAAGGTCCTTGGGTTGTACTTGAGAAGGGGCCAAGAGCCTATGCTTCCATGAAAGCCCTCAGAACTCTCTGCTCCCTCTCCCTGGGACTGTAGGAAGGAGGGCCAGGGAACAAAGAAATCTGAAGAAGCCACCTGGCTGGCCTGAAAGCTTGTAATCTACAGCTGAGGGGAGATTATGAGGGCAAACACTTGTAAGAGAGTACCAACTGCTAACTCAGGTGCATGCACCCCTCTGGGATTTTGTTGATGAAGGAATGTGCCTTGTCACAGTTGGGGCTGCTGAGAATTCTCCTCTGCTTCAATAAACCTGTGTTGGTTGACCACGCACTTAATATAGATGCAAATGCTTACTAATAGTTCAAAATCAAGTCTTACACTTGTACATGCATAAAATAAAGTCTATATAATTGACATTCATTAAAATTAGGTCAAATAAAAACAACTCAGTGAGCAGACATTTATTCGATATTTATTCACATATTAATGAGAATGTGAGAAGCTCACTCAATGGGAAGAATGAAAGCGCTGATGTGCGTTAACCAGGCATTTGAAGTCAGGCATCGTTTCCGTTGTAATGTGGAGGACTGCTGCAAGGTGGTCATCAGTCATCACAGACCTATGTTTTGATTTATTGAATTTCATCACAGAAAATCTTTCCTCGCATATGTATGTTGATCCAAACAGCACAAGCATCCTCCGGGCATGAGCCTTTATTTTTGGAAAGGTATATTCATTAAGAGAGGCGTAAAAACTGGGAAGCGGCACTGATTTGAATTGCTCCGCAAGCAATGGTCAGGTCATTGCATTGCAGGTCAATAAGCTCGAGTTGGAGGTCAAATGGGGCTTTGTCAACATCAAATGAGAAAGGTGAAGAGACCAAAGACAGGTCATTTTTGATCAAATTGAAATCCTGGAATCTGCGAGAAAATTCGGCATGTAAGTCAAATAGTGACGAAGTATACTTTCTAAGGCTTTGATCGCAACCAGTAATCTGCTGCAAAGTTAGAAAATGGGCAAACTGCCTGTTTCTTATCTGACCCGATAAAATAAATAATTTTGTCGTAAATGACTTAACACTGCAATACAAATCATGCACAAAGGCCCCCTTCCATTGCAGTTTTGAATTCAGTTCATTTATGTGACTCATGATATCAACAGCAGTTGCGAAATCAGAGAGCCAATTTGCATCATTCAGTTGTGAGATATCCAAATCTTTTTGTTTCATGTCCAAAAATAAATCAATCTCTGTTCTCAGTTCCCACACTCTTTTCAAGATCTTTCCTAAACTAAGCCATCGAACATTTGTGTGATACAGAACATCCGTGTGCTCGGATTCCAATTCCTCAAGCAGAGTTACAAATTGCCTGTGGTTTAATCCTCTTGCTCAAATGTAGTTGACCACTTTCATAACTGTGTCCACAATATTGATTAGTTTTAGAACACTCTTGCAGAGGACCTCTTGGTGGATAATGCAGTGCAGAAACACAATATTCTGTTCTGGATTTGTTTCTTTGACTTGATCTTGAATTCTTTTCAGTAACCCAACATTTTTGCCTGTCAGATTTGGACTTCCATCGGTGGTCACATTCACCAATTTTTTCCACTCCACTCCTAATTTTAAAATACATTTATTTACTGCCTCCAAAAAGTCTTCTCCAGTTGTCGTGTCTTTCATTGACTGCATTGATGCCAATTCTTCTGTGAGCTCAAAATGTTTGGTGATACCTCAAATAAAAATTATCAACTGGGCTGTGTCTTTGACATCACAACTCTCATCGAGTGCCAGTGAAAAACATGCAAAATTGCTTAGTTTATTTTGTAACTGCACACTTTTTATTTTCTTTCTTTATTATTTTTTCATTTATTTTTATTTTATTTATTTTATTTGTTTTATTTTCCACCCACACTGGTTTAAAAAAATTTAGAAGTCCATTCTTTGTTGAATATTCGGCCTTCAGTGTCCACTTACCGCTTCTTTGATAAACTCATGTTGAATTAACGTCCTCTTCAGTGAAAAGTATTGCCTCGGTTGCCAAGCGCACGTGTTTGAAAATTTACCGATCCATACATTTCTGACATCGGCCTGATTCAACATTTAAGGGAGCGTGCGCACAACTAAGCAGTGTGATTGGCTGCTGTTCCCGGTCTGATTCAAATGCAAAATTTGTGCGACTTTCTGGGACTGAATAAACTATAATTTTTTCTATTGTTAGACACAATGAAGGGCCAGATAGAATCATTTGGCGGGCCGGATATGGCCCGTGGGCCATATTTTTTCCACTCCAGCCTTAGCCCCTTCTGTTATATCTACATCTGACACTAGCAACAGCACGTCTAAGTAATGGGAATGGTTATTGACAGGTGTATAAAGGAGAAAGCTAAGCTGTATTAGCAGATAATTTATTACACCTTCATCTGTTAAGTTATGTGTCTGTGGTGCCTGCTACCTTTTTTGGGTGGGGTGGGGGGGGGGGGGTAAGCAGGGTCTCCTTGGAACTGAGCAGGTCACTGGGTTCTTTGTTCTCGTACATTCTTCATTGAGTTCAACACAAAAGCCTCTTCTCAATAATGAAGTTACTGAGCTTGCTTCAGACTACTTCCACTCTTCATTCTCAGTTACATTGTAAAGCTATCTCTTTCTCCCTGGACTGCTTTGAAAAGGAGTTTCATCCAAAGCCTGCAGCTGCAAAAGCCAGCATTTTAAATTGACTAAACTGTCTAAACAGAAACCTTTTAAATATCTTTGATTCAAATGTTGCAACATGTTATTAATATGTTGATTTGTTGATATGCTATCTGGAATTAGGTAAGGTATCCTTATGTGTGTATATACTGTAGATACTTTCTTACAGTGTTATATGTAATAGCTATTTTATATAAGGCTGCAGGAAAAGCATGATTTGTTGATCTAAAAGTTGTGACCAAAGTTGACTTGTGGTTTTGGTTTGGTCAGTTCAAGGTCAAGTACCTACAGTGAATATGTATTCCATTGCAACATCCACTTGTCCATCAACCCATCCTGTGCTCCCATTGGACCATCCTATCAACAAATGGGTGGTCCAAAGAGATCACTGGATAGCTTGACGGACAGGCAAATTGTCCAATGGACTGTGGGGTAGATTGATGGACAGGTGGATGATCCAATGGAAGCATGTACTTGGGTAATCATTAAAAAGTTGCAGCAACTAAAACAAATTGGGGGTTTTATAATAATAATAATAATCCTTGCATTTAATATAGCGCTTTTCACGTCGGGAGGACGTCCCAAACCGCTTCACAGAACACACTGTAAAGTAAATTGACTTTATATTTGTGGGCGAACGCGGCAGCCAATTGCGCACAACAATGTCCCACAAACAGTCGGAGATTGAAAATGACCAATTTATTATTGTTTTTGGTTTTGGAGGGATTATTATTAGGCTCTGTGTGGAGTAAGGAAACTTGCCCAAGGTTTCGCCCTCTGCCTGGAATTGAACTCAGGTCCCTCGCTTGCAAAGAGAGTGCTCAAACCACTGAGCTCCAGGACTTTTCTTAGTTGCTGCAACTTTTAATGATCACCCATCTACCAGGTTAGTGTACCAGAGGGAGAAGGGAAGGGGAAAAGGGAAGATGACCATACATAAAATTCAAGAGGTAGTTCAACTGTAGTCATATCTAACTTTCAAAGAGAGCTTTGGTAAGGTGGGACAGGACTATAATTCAGTAAGCAGACCATCTGTATGTGTAGGACCATAATATCAGTATGAGGTAGGGCCAGAACATTTATATGGGGTGGGGTAGAACTTTATTATGGGGGTATATCCTTAAGTCATATGCCACATGGCAATTTCTATGAGCAAAAACAGAGTTTATGCAATTTGGATTTGTCAAATGCATACCCAAATGGTTAACTGTTACTCCTATACTACTGTAATTAAAGGTCACGGGGATATGAATTCTGCTTGTGTGAACTGTTGCCAAGCTATCAATAGGAGGTGATGGTACAAAAAGTACCAAAAGTTGCAATAATATGAAGAATGAAATTCCATTCAGCCTTGGCCAATAACTGTATCATGTCTTAAATAAGATTATTATGTCTGACTATTGTGTCAGTCTGGCTGAGTACTTTCAGGAAATAAAACTCAATGAATATTTTCATAATGAGAGCTCTTGCCTCTGAGTCAAAAGGTTGTGGATTGGGTCTTGGAACTCTAAACTGATACTCTAATGCAGTGCTCAGGTGTGCTGCATCGTTGGTGATGTCGTCCTTTGTCTGAAATGTTAAACCAAAGCCCTTGACTACCTATCCAAGTGGATATTAAAGATCCCATGATGGTGTTGAAAAAAAAAGGGAGTTTTTCTCTCCAGTCGTTGTGGCATACTATCCCTGAAATAAAATGTGGTCACTCACTCCATAGTCAGACTATGGGCAAATTAACTGCCATGTTCACCCAGAAAATATAGTCATTGACTGTATATCCTGTGAAGCGCTAATGTGAAGATGTCTCAATGATATGATAAGGCGCTATATCCAATGCAAGGATTATTATTATTAACATTATTTTAAATTAAGATTATGCAAAATTGTGGAAAATACAGTTTTAATTTGGTAGCCCATTTTCCACGGATGTTCGATAGAACCGCTTCCAAATTAAGACTATATTTTAGAACATTCCACAATTCTGCTCAATCTTAAATTTTAAAACAAAATGGTCTTGAAGGCTAAGTATTACAGATGGGATTTCAGGCCTGTTGTCTGATCTGTCAAGTCTCAGCAATTTTCAATAACTTTGTTTTGTGGGGAAATGGAACACCCCAATAAAAACAATTAACAATTTGTTTCATTGTCACAACAATAACTTGCATTTATATAGCGCCCTTCTCGTGGGGAGCATCTCGAATTGTTTAACAGTGGGGGAGCCCAATGCCGAGCCTGGGGGGGGGGGTGGGGGGAAGGTCTTCAGTCCTGATCTAAAAGAGGGGAAGGAGGGGGGGCAAGTCAAAGGGATTGAGGGAGAGAGTTCCAAAGCTTTGGGTGTACTGGCTGATGGTGGAGCGGAGGGGATGAGGGACGTGGAATATCTCACTTGGATTAAAATATGGGCTGTTAGCAAATGAAAAAGATCACAAATAATTATGTAATCTTCTTTTGTCAATTACATATTTTAGATATTCAATTCACTTCCTCCCCAACCCCCCCCACCCCCCCACCCTTACGCACAAGCACATGCACACACATCCAAAACTCACTGTTTTTAATGGACTGTCCTTGGTAAGTATTATCTTTGCGGTGCAATTTATAGTTTCCAAAACAAGTTTCCCTCAGCACTTTCAGGAAATAAAACTCAATGAATATTTTAATAATGAGAGCTTTTGATCATATATTTCTGGCTATCATTTGAGAAAATTAATACCAGAGAAACTCATGTCATGTTATTCTGCTAAGGATTTTTGTGCAATAAAGACGCCGATGGCTGTTTAATAATATTTGGAACTATTTTGTAGCATGGGTTGAATATACTCCATGAGTGAGAGGGAGACCACCAACATGCATTCTGAATCACACTTGTGGGAAAGTAAACTCTGACAGAGAGAAACCACGCAAGTGTTTACGCAATTTACCGAGAATGATTCTTTAAACAGAAACAAGGGATTGTTTCCTGATATTTTTCGAATGATGTTTCCTCAGAAAAGGTAGAGGCTAATGTGCAGACCATAAGTACATCAGCGACTGGTAATCTCTCATGTTAAAGTGCTCAATGCCCTAAATTTATTATGCACTACACACAGGTTGGGGCGGAGCAGGTGTTACAAAATCAATTTATTTTCCTGTCCCTTTGTTATACTGTAAGCATCTGAGAGTAAATTGAAATGGTTTTTGACCCATAATAGGGAAGTCCCTGGTCTCTGCTCTGACCTCCTCAATGAGGAACAATTTTTATTTTAACTCTTTCTGGGCACGTGGGTGACACTGGGTCTGCTCTTTAAACTTCTGCTGTCTTTAAACTGGCTTTCTGCATGCTCCAAAACTGTGGACTCTGCCTTGCCCAGTCTTTGTCAGTCTTCAGATCAAACCTGAAGACCATCCTCTTCATTTTCGTCCTGGCTCAGCGTGAAGCTCCGCCATTGTTAAGCATTCCGAGATGTTACTCTGCGTGAAGGGCGCTGTATAAATGCAAGTTATTGTTGTTGATGCTGTCCTTGTGGCAATAGCAGTGACATAACCTTATTCAATCGTGAGTCCAGGTTTTTGACCCGGCAATGATAGAGTAATTTGACAAGTCAGCCTGGTGTGGACTTGGAAGTGGTGGCTGAATTTGGTCACTTTTCATGTCAGAAATCTTGCATGAAAATTTACCCCTTCCCACTTGCCACACTCCTGGGACTCCCAACATGTCACAGCAACACACCACTCCTGATCTTACAAGAACAACAAACATTTGCATTTATATAGTGCCCTTCATGCGGGGTAGCGTCTCAGACCTTATGAACCAAAGCTATGTTACTGAGAAGGTTTTTGATGTGTCCTCCCAAACTGAAATGCGTAGATGTAAATTTGTAATGTATTATAATGACACTATTATGCTTGTACAATGCTAGATACTAGCATGTTGGAAGCACCATTTACACAGGGGCTGCAGCTGAAGGGAAGTTACCCTGCACTGGCCCTATTTGGAGAAAGAGTTTATAAACACAGCTGTATTTATGTGGGGAGATACAGAACGAGTGGAAGCTGACCACATCCTCACATGAGCTGGTAGTCATCTCAGATCCCTGTTACTATTTTTTTACAGTTCTTACCAACTAAAAATAAATTGTCTTTCCCTTGCATGATATCTAATAAAGGGAGCCCAAAAAGGAATATATCTTGATAGGGTCTTTTAACGTAAGAAATGTCATAGCTGAGCAATGCCGATCTTGTTTCTATTTTAATCAACTGGAGTTTCCCTTGATTACGCTTAAGAATTGGGGAAATTTTTTTTGAGAAGTATCTGATTATTCCCTTCTCTTAGAGATTTCCAGTTTAAATGGTGCCAGTTTTAAAGAAAAGCAAGATAAACTAGAATCGGACAGTGACTGCAAAACCATTTGATCTGATGACTTACTGCCAACATTACCTTAAAGAGCTGCTTGCACCAAGACACTGTACTGAAAACAGAGTCGCGTTTAGGTGTCAGTTTGCCTCAGTTGGTAGTTATCTTGCCTCTGAGTTAGTAGCTTGTAGGTTCAAGTTCTATGTCAGGTCTTTAAGTTTCCTACCTAGGTTGACACTCTACTGCAGTACTGGGAGAGTCTCCACTGCATTGTCAGAAGTGCAATCATTCAGATGACGCATTTAATATGTGACCCCATCTCCCCCATTCTCGCCTGACTCCATTGGCTCCCTATCCTTCAGAAGATCCAGCTCAAAATCCTGATCCTCACCTACAAAGCCCTCCATGGCCTCGCCCACCCTATCTCTGTGACTTCCTAACCCCTACCAACCCGCCTCCTCCCTCCGCTCAGCCGGCTCCAGCCTCCACGTCTCCCAACCCACCCGCCCCACCATTGGCGAGAGAGCCTTCAGCCACTCTCCCCCAACCTCTGGAACTCCATCCCCCAATCACTCCGCCTCGCCCCCTCCTTAGCCTCCTTCAAGTCCCTCCTCAAAACCCTCCTCTTCGACCATGCCATCGGCCAAACCCCTTCCCCTCCCTTCTCCCCCTGACCCCAGCTTGGGTCTGAAATGCTGTACACTGTCCAGCGCCTTGGGACATCCTTCCGACATGAAAAGTGCTATACAAATGTAATCTTGTTGTTATTAATATTAATAATAATCCTTGCATTTGATATCACGCCTTATCACATCTTCGAGACATCTCAAAGCGCTTCACCGAATATACGGTAAAGTGAATTGACCGTATATTTTGTAGGCGAAACAGGGCAGCCAATTGCGCTTAGCAGCGTCCCACAAACAATCGAGGGTTGAATGACCAAATTATTATTATTTAATTTTCTTTTAAAACAACATCTTATGAAGATGCCCTAACACTATTTGAAAGTGAAGGGAGTTTTTCCCAATGTTCTAATTAATATAATTCTTATATTTGATACAGCTCCTTTCATGTCCGATGAACATCTCAAAGTGTTTCACAGGATTTACTGTAAAGTGGTGTGACTTATATATCGAGCGAATGTGGGGGCCAATTTGCAATTTCCCACAAAGACCCATAAAGTGAATGAGCAATTTTATTTGGGAGTTTGTTACCGAGGACACCGGGAGAAACTCCTTTATCTAGTATTGAAATGGGATCTTTCATAGAGTTGAACTGTCAGACACCGGCTTACCACAAACAATTGTTGGAAGTGTGAGTTTGATCTGTCATTTGACCCTTTTGTGTAACGGCTAATGATAAAATGGCACAATGTAATTTGTCACTGTTTACAAACTGTCCTGATGAAGCAATGACTGCTAATTGCTTGATGTTTAAAGAGAAATGGTCAAAATGCATTGCTTTGTAAAGGAAGCCGTTACAACTCTGATTTCTCTGCTCTTTTTAGTATTTATTTTTGTGCTTCCTTTTTTTAATTGCTGTATCTGCTTCTTTGAGTTGCCTTGCAGGGCGCACCATAATAATAATAATAATCCTTGCATTTGATATAGCGCTTTTCACGTCTTCTAGACGTCCCAAAGTGCTTCACAGAATATACTGTAAAGTGAATTGACTGTATATTTGTGGGCGAACGCGGCAGCCAATTGCGCACAGCAATGTCCCACAAACAGTCATGGATTGAAAATGATCAATTTATTATTGTTTTTTTTTGGAGGGATTATTATTGGGCGCGTGGAGTCAGCCTGGAATTGAACTCGGGTCTCTCACTTGCAAAGCGAGTGCTCTAACCACTGAGTTACAGGATTCCACATTGGTTTGGCTGAGTGGGCAGTTCTGTCTCCTGGTACCAGGCCTCTGTCAATATATCTCTTGACCCAGTCACCAGGAGTATGGTGAGAGAGGCGATGCAGAGGGGTGGAATCCCTCCCTCCAGTATCCCCTCTATTAATTCATCTCAGTGACAAGACAATGAACAAGCAAGATCAATAAGTACATTCATAGGACAGAGTTGAAGTGCTTTTCTGAAGAGCATTCTGGATAGATACCTTTTGGGCCTGGTAAGATCATATGAGTTGAACAGACATCTGGTGAAGGACGATGGGCAGCATTGAGGAACAGCATTTGTAGGTACAGAAATACAAGAAAGAATAAGAGGTTCTTTATCTGTTGAAACTCCATGCCTCTTGTTTCTAACTTCCTGCAAGGAAACATAAGCAAGGCTTGTAGCACACAGTATTAGATTGCTTCCCTTATGATAAATTTCTAGGAAATATTTCAAATGGAACCATCTGAACAAAATAAAAGCCTGGGTGTGAAGCAAGACTCACAAAAAAATGTATTTCCCAAATTAAAAATATCAAAGTAGTCTACAGTGCAAACTAGATGGAGTAATTCCATCTAGGTCTAAGCCTAATTTATATTTGCGGCATTCCAAACATCTACTTAATAAACATCAATTACAATACAGTTTGAAACTTTGCAGTCTTCTCTTTATTTTTCTTTTGTGAGACACACTAGACCTGCCCCTGCTGTCCATCCAGAGCGAGGTTGGCTGCTGCTTGCCCTTTGCCATGACCTGCCCTGTTGATGCCGCTTATTATTGGCTGGACTTGCTTGCTTTCTTCTGCTGGCCTGGAGTGGTTATTCCAATTAGTCAAGCTAACCATGATTGTCAGCTCCCCTCTCCATACAATATAATAATAATCTTTGCATATGATATAGCACCTTATCACATCTTCGAGACACCTTAAAATGCTTCACAGAATATACTGTAAAGTGAATTGACTGTATATTTTGTGGGTGAAACTCAGCAACCAGTTGCGCAGAACAGTGTCTCACAAACAGTTGTGGATCGAGTGACCAAATCTTTTTAAATTTTATTTTGCTCGTGTTTCCATGCTACTTAAATCCATACTTTCATCCATGTTACACACTGTATAAGCAAATAATCAAGAAGCAGTAACCAAGGAAGTAAAGCACACTAACCAATAAAAAAAACTTGCACACGTTACTTTCATCTTACCATTTTATCTTCTTACCAATAAATGAACAAGGTCAAAATACACATGCATACACGTACAAATATGAGTATTAAGATCACATGCCCAACGATGGTGTCTATTACTCATTTTCTATTTACTAATCAAAAATGCAATTTAGCCACATCTGGACTGCCAATTAGCTACACGTAGTTAGTGGCTAATGTACTGGACAACCCTAGTCTACTGCAGTACAGTGCTGGGAGAGTATTAGATTGTTGCAGGTATTATCCTTCAGATGAAATGTTAAATCGAGATACCATTTGCCTGTTAGGATGAATGTATTCAAGACTGAGATAGATAGATTTCTTATTGCAAAAGGGATTAAGGGATATGGGGATAAGGCAGAGTCCGGTTATTAGCTGGAGTCAGATTAGAAGATCAGCCATGATTGAATGGCGGGGAAGGCTCGAAGGGCCGAATGGCCTACTCCTGCTCCTACATGTTATGTTATGTTATTACAGATTCCATCACACTACTCGAGAAGAGAAAGGAATTTCCTCCATGTTTTAACCAAAAATCCACCAGATAAACTACATAATTTGTTGTAATCCTTTAGCTCAGTGATTAGAGCACTCGCTTCGCAAACGAGAGACCTGGGTTTGATTCCTGGTAGGGTGAAATGTTGGGCAAGTTTCTTTATTCCACATGTCTCTGTTTACCTAGCAGTAAGTAGGAACCCAGTTGTTAGTTGATTGGCGGATCGCTTTTCCGGGGATAATAATTCCTTAAAAACAATTGGTCACTTAATCAACGACTGTTTGTGGGACACTGCTGTATGCAATTAATTGGCTGCCACATTTCGCCCACAAAATATACAGTCAATTCATCAATTCACTTTGCAGTATATTCTGTGAAGCACTTTGAGACGTCTCAAAGACATAATAAGGTGCTATTTCAAACCCAAGGATTATTATTATTATACTACCACCAATGTAGTTTATTGCATTTGCTGCTCACAATGTGGTCTCCTCTACATTGAGGAGACAAAATGCAGATTGGGCGACGGATTTGCCGAACACCTCCGTTCTGTCCACAAGCATAACCCTGAGCTTCCAGTCTCCTGCCAGTTCAACTCTCCCTCCCACTCTGACCTCTCCATCCACGGTCTCCTACGCTGATCCGATGAGCCATACCGCAAGCTCATGGAACAGCACCTCACTCATCTGCTAGGGATCTTACAGCCCTCTGGCCTCAATATTGATTTCAATAATTTCAGACCATAACAGCTCACCTTCCCCCTCCCCTTCTTTTGTGACCATTACCACATCATCTGGGTCCCAGACACACCTTTTCTCTCTTTGGTCTGCCTATTTAGTTGCAATTTTTCCCCCTTTGTTTTGCAGTATTAACACATTTATTCCCCTGCTTTGTTGCAACCCCGCACCCCCTTTGTTTTGCATCATGAACACCTCTTTAACCCATCGTCCCCTGTCCTCTACCCCATTTTCTCTTTTGTCTTCCTTGCCCTGCTTCCCCCCGCTCTGTTAGCCCTTGAAAACCTCTCCCTCCCAATGTGCCCCAGTTCTGACGAAGAGTCATGGACCTGAGACGTTGACTCACTTTCCTTTCTCCATAAATTCTGCCTGACCTGCTGAGTGTTCCTAAAGACTTCTGTTTTTGTTTCAGGTTTCCGGTATCTGCAGTATTTTACATATTATTCTTATTATTATTCATGTCATGGTTGTTTGTGGCCCATTGCCACGAGCTAACTGGTTGCTACATTCCCCACAAATGCTTTAACTACGATACTTCAGGAGTCATGACGCACTGAATTAAATGCGAAGATTATTACCTTGATAAACATGTCTATGTTTCTGACCAAGAAGGCTGTATTGTTAGCAGTAATCCGTTTTGCAAGCATATACTGACAGGGGTGACATTATTTAAATGCTTTAAAGTACAGGGTATATTTAAGTATTCTCTGATTGTTGAGTGGTTGCCAGAATAAGGCCCCAGTGTAAATTAATCATGTGCTAGCTAATCTTTCCCCTTGAGGCCCAGCTAGATGTGTAGCTGTTTATCTATCATGGAGAGAAACATTTGATAAAATAATGCATTTCAAAGATCTCATGTTTCTTTGGCTTTTTCTCAATGTTACTATGACGTTCATGAAAATCAGAGCTACGCTAGCAACTGCAAAACTGCGAACTTCAAATCATCATTCAACTATTGAACTTATAAGGTGATTGACTCACAATTATAGCTAATGCAATCAATTTTAACTTTTAACTAAAGCCTTAAGGTGCTTTGATAGTAGTTCTTCAGAAACACATCTGCACTGAAATACAGAGGTGAAATACCTCTTTCTAGCTTGTTTCTAAACCCCTGCTAATTTCACGCTGTATATACAAAAAAAGTTATCACAGAAAGTTAAACAAAATCCAAAGTTAAAGACTTTATATGGTGCTGCTTGTATCAGACTCACATCATTTCATGCAAAATTAAGTAACCTCTGGTTTATGGTAAGTCAACATTACATAAAATGGGTTACAAATAAAATAAACAAGCTCTACATTTTAGAACAAGCATAATGGGAGCTTACCTCTGAAAAGCACAACACAAAATGGAAGATATTATCCCTGTCCTTCATTGCATTATCCAATCCAGATTCCATCTGTAGTCAGGCTGTTTATGCCACACTGACATTTGTTTATTGCAGAGTAGCATTTATTATCGTGGTAGGAGACCTCAGCAGTCACTTGATGTTTATTTTGAAAGAAGCTCAGTTCTGATGTATCTGTGGTATTCAGATCTGGTAATACTGTTGCTTCTTTGAAGAAGTGACTGCTTATGCGGTAAATTGTGTGGCAAGCAGACAGCCAATGCCTGTCCCCAACAATCCTCTTTGAGGAAAACAGATTGCAGAGAATTATTTCTATCCTCATTGCCACAGTGCAACAATAAAACATAATTTACGGATGAAAAGCAGCATGAAAACCACATTTGAATGGAAAACCTTTGTCAGTTTTATAGATTTCTTTAAGTTTTATTAGCAGTAGTAGTAATAAAATAATAATCCTTGCAATTGATATAGCACCTTTCACATTGGGAGGACCTCTCAAAGCGCTTTACAAGATTTATTGTAAAATAACAATAATAATAAAATCCTTGCATTTGATATAGCGCCTTATCACATCTTCGAGACATCTCAAAGCGCTTCACAGAATATACTATAAAGTGAATTGATGGTATATTTTGTGGGCAAAATGCATTACATAAATATAGTGATATATAGTGACTGTATTTTGTCAAGCAAACAAGGCAGCCAATTTGCGCACAGGAATGTCCCACCTATAGTCATGACATGAATAACCATTTTTCAATTGGAGTAGCTATTGGGTTAACCCAGCTAAAACAACAACAACAACAACTTGCACTTATCTAGCGACCTCCATGTTGGGCGACATCTCAGAGTGCTAAACAATGGTGGAGCCCAAGGCCGAGGGAAGGTGACCATAGGCGCGAGTGAATATAAAATCCCCAGTATTGTACTAGAAAGTCAGCCTAGAGTATGAGCAAAAGATTTTTGCCTGGAGCTTGAACCTTTCCACTGAAACACTGTTGCTGTTCATATAACAATAACATGCACGTTGCTGGAGCTCCTTGTAAAAGTTCAGATGAAACTCTCCTATGCGAAATTCAGATGATTTCCACACTGCCCGACCCTCCACCCCCCATAGCTTCAGCACAATGGATGTGCCAATGATTGCTCCATTTGGCGAGAAATTGTGAGTGCAGCTTAAAACAGGAGGCCAAATTAAGTCAGTTGGTATTCTGCTAAGAAGCTCTCAAACCCTGACTCAAGAGCTGAAAATAAAATCACTCAGGGCCACAATGCCAAACAACAATGTAGTACAATTTGTTTTACATCCACAGCACAAAAAGGAATGCGCCCAATCAGAAACTGAGTACATTTGGTTATTTGGCTATTCTTCAGGAATAATTGGAGATTTGCAGCATTTCATAATGCTCTTGATGTGGCCTGTTATCAAACTTCTTGGTCAATCTGGCCACTTGTGTAAGCACAACCTGGAGAGCTATCACAATTATTCCCTACTTCACTGTTGCTATTTTCCCATTTCTTTGTTCTTATTTCCCCTTTTCATTTTCCCCTTATGTTTTGTAATTTCAGTGAACTTACTTCAACTTGGTTTAAATTGTGTTCCTTATCTGAGGTTTCCTTTCCTGTTAAGACCAACACGGTTTGGAATGAAGAAGACCATTAGCTGTGACCCTATTGTTCTGCTTAATAATGGTATAACTCCCATTAACTTCATCTCCCACCTGCCTTGGGGCCTACTGGCTGTTGAATTATGTGCCAGGCTTGCTTAGTTTGTAGCACTATTGCCTCTGTGTGAGAAAGTTGTGGGTTCAAGTACCAAGGCTCGTTCAGTCTAGGCTAACAGTGCAGTGCTGGGATGTTGTATTGTTGGAGGTGCCATGCTTCTGTTCCCTCCCCATCGGCCTACAAAATATCTGCTCCCCCTCCAATAAAACACACACCATCCAAGACCTCATTGTCAACGAAAATATTGACATCTTCCCCCACACTGAAACCTGATTCACTCCAGGCGACACCTTCCCCCGATAGAGGCCAAACCACCTGGCTACACATTCCATCATACCCCACGACCTAACCGCCATGGTGACGGGGTGGCTCTCATCTCCCGGAGCCCGCTCGGCCTATCCCCTTACTCCTCTGGAACCTTCCCCTCCTTCGAGCACTTTACCCTTTATCACCCCACCAAAATTACCCTCAAAATTCTCCTTATCTATTGTCCCCCAAGGCCTCCCCCACCTTCTTCCCCGACATCTACACCTTCCTATCTTCCCTTTCCCCCTGCTCCAAATGACTCCTCATCCTAAGCGCCTTCAACCTTCCACATGTATGCAGATGACACCCAACTGTACCTCTCTGCTTCCACCCTTGATTCCAGGAACACTGCTGTCCTGACAGAATGTCTGTCAGACATCAAGTCCTGGATGAGAGCTAATGTTCTTCAGTTGAACGTCAACAAGACTGAGGCCCTCCTGATTGGCTCCCGTCAGCACCTCCACACCTTAGGCGCTGATAGCATCACCATCCATGGTTGCACACTTCACCTCACTGAGCTAGACCGGAATCTTGGTGTCTGGTTTGACCCTCAACTATCCTTTCTACCCCACATCCGTGCTGTGACCCGCTCTGCCTTCCCCCACATCCGGAACATCACCCGGCTCCGCCACTTGTCTCACACCGCAGGCCGCCAAAATCCTCATACATGCATTCATAATATCGAGGCTTGACTATGCAAACTCATTGCTTATCAACCTCCCAAACTCCTCCCTCTGTATGGTGCAGATCATCCAGAACTCTGCAGTCTGTGTCCTCTCCTTCAAGCAAATATAGTTCAAGATCCTGATTCTCACCTTCAAAGCCCTCCATGGCCTTGCTCCCCTCTACCTCTGTGACCCCTACCATCCTGCCCACTTCCTCCGCTCAGGATACTCCGGCCTGCTTCACATCCGCCGCCTTGCCCGCCCCATCATTGGCGGGCAAGCCTTTTCCAACTCTGCCCCCACCCTCTGGAACGCCATCTTGCAGACTTTCTGCCTCGTCTCCTCCCTTTCCTCCTTCAAGACCCATCTCAATCACCCTGCTCCACCCTCTCCACCCTCCCCAATCCCGATCCCCAGCTCGGGTCCGAAACACTGACTGTCCAGCACCTTGGGACATCCTCCTGACGTGAAAGGCGCTATACAAATGTAATTTTGTTGTTGTTATTGCTTCGGATTAGATGTTAAACTGATGCCCCGTCTGCCTATCTGGTTGAACATTAAAGCTTGTTGACACTATTCGAGAAGTGAATAAAATTTCTCCCAATATCCTGGGCAACAATCCCTCAGATAAAATTGTTCATTCACTCCATGGCTCTTTGTAGGACATTGCTGCTAGTTTAACCCACAAAATACACACAATCAGATCACTTTACAGTATATCCTGTGAAGGGTTTTGAGATGTCTTGACATGATAAGGCACTATATTCAATGCAAGGATTATTTTTATCAAATGGGTATTGGTCCCTTTATTTAGCATAATTTTAATGAGGCTGATTCCTATGTGTTTGATGTCAGTTTGGAAGAATTCTCACCTCTAAATCAGAAGAATATGCATTCAAGCCCTAGTTTAGTATTTCAAGCTTATAATCGAGGCTGACACTCCATTGCAGTTCTGGGGGAGTGCTGCATTGTTGGAGAGCCACAATTTTGGACAAAACGTTAAACCAAGGTCTTGTCTGCCTGTTAGGTGACCAGTAAAGATCTCATGGCACTAGTCAGCAGTGGTGCTTAAATCAAGAGTAAAGGCAGAGAGATAGAGTTGGGTGACATTTTCACATATGTGGAAGTGTACCACTGGCCTGCAGGTTATGCCACCAAGTTAGAAAATATAGATGATGTAAAAGAGAGGAATTGAGGATAGAGCCCTGAAGAATGCTACATGCGATTGTGCGGGGGAGGGAGAAGCTTTTGGAAGAGGTGAAAAATCCCCAAATAAAATTGTTAATTGACTTAATTGCTGTTTATGCTGGTTCTAACAGTCCATCAGCAGATTTAGCTTCACCATACCAAGACCTATCCCTGCGCTCTTGCCTCCGCCAAATCCTCCTTCTACTCCAAGGTTATCTTGGAGGCAAAGGACAACCCTAGGCTTCTCTTTTCCACCACAAACCGTCTTCTCCATCCACCTTCCCATACCTCGCCCATCGTCTCCTCAAACTCCAACTGTGAGGAGATGCTGGACTTCCTCGAATCCAAAATCGAGGGGATACGTTCAGCCACCTCTGCCCCGTCCATCATCACCCCCACATCACCTCTGCCTCATGACCCACCTATCACCCCCTATACTCGTTCGATCCTATCTCTCCCTCCTTCCTCACCGCGACTGTTCGCAAACTCAAACCCACCACCTGCTCCCTCGATCCCATCCCCACCTCTCTCCTCATCTCCCAGCTTCACCTTCTGACCCCTCTCCTGTCCGACGTCATCAACTCTCCTTGTCCACCGGTTCAGTTCCCACCCCACTAAAAACGCTGTCATCAACCCCATCCTGAAAAAGCACTCCCTGGACCCATCCCTCCTCTCCAGCAACCGCCCCATCTCTAACCTCCCATTCCTCTCCAAGGTCCTGGAATGAGTCGTCATGTCCCAGCTCCGCTCTTTTCTCTCTCACCATTCCCTCTTTGAACCCCTCCAATCGGCTTCCACGCTGCCCATAGCACGGAAACAGCTCTGGTCAAAGCCACTAATGACATTCTGAACATCTGTGATCAGGGCTCCATCTGCCTCCTTGTCCTCCTCAACCTCTCTGCCGCCTTTGACACTGTCGACCACTCCATCCTCATACACCGCCTCTCCGCTTTACTTAATCTTCGTGGACCTGCCCTTGCCTGGTTCGCTTCCTATCTCTCTCACTATCTCCACTTTGCTGCCTCTAACGGTTTCTCCTCCAGCCCCCGCACTGTCACGTCTGGCGACCCCCAGGGCTCTGTCCTTGGCCCTCTCCTCTTTAATATCTACATGCTCCCCCTTGGTGACATCATCTGCAGACATTGAATCAACTTCCACATGTATGCGGATGACACCCAACTCTTATCTTTCTGCCTCCACCTTCAACTCCAGGACCACTGCTGTCCTGACAGACTGCCTGTTGGACATCAAGTCCTGGATGAGGGCAAATTTCCTACAGTTGAATGTGAACAAGACTGAGGCCCTCCTGATTGACTCGCGCCAGGGCCTCAGCAC